CTTTGACGATTTCAAACTTCCTCCTTTCCAAAGAAGACCAGGATGTAAACAAAGGAATTCTGCTTAACACACAGGCACCACATTGGTTCTTGAAAATGATTGTCGAATATACTTGAACAAAAATAACAAAATATGTACTTCTGCCAGTTCATCCACAATATCGTGCAGACGTACTCAACACTTTATTCAAAAATGGGAAAAATACAATAAAAAATGAAACAGTCAGACCTTGTCAGTTCTTCTAATTTAAATTTATTTGGATGAATATTTAATGCCTAAGTCATTGATCCACTTCTGTTCTGTCAGCTAAAGTACCTTCACCGTACCCAGCACATATCTTTTTTGTTGTTTGCAAGTTATTTTTGCCTTTACGATAAAAAAACAAGTGTCTAAAATGAACCTTAAAATCTTCCGTTTTCATAGGGACGAAAAATTGACACGAATTAAGTAATTTTAATCTTTCTTTCTCAAGAGATAGTCTAGGGTATACCCTAATCGGAAATTTAAGCAGATTAAATTTAATATGTTTTAACGTGTTGGAACATGAACAACTAAAAACCAGAATGAAATTTATGGACAGCCATATATATATATATATATATATATATATAAAAGACAATAGGAAAACTGTAATAGTCGTCGACGCGTTTCGTTCGACTTTTCGTTTTTTGCCTTGAGAAAGTCTACATTGGACTATTACAGTTTTCCTATTGTCTTTTACATTTATAAATATTGTCTTACTTCTTGCCTCACACTGCAAATGTTTTCAAAGCTCTATACTAAACATTAAATCTGTTACGAAAAAAGAACTAAGCAAAATGAACAAAAAACGATCAGCTTTAAAAAAGGACTCGTAACTGGAAAAACCGAATGAAAAAGAATGTTAACAACAAATACTTTTTCACACCCAACCCAGTTCTGCGGAATCAGAATCAACGTTGAGTTTAAGCAAGCGAATGGGCCAATTGGAGTAAAGTGCCATGCAGATTTAAATTTTACCCACTTGTGACGAATGCAGCTATCGATTTTTTTGCATGCTAGTTAACATTCGTGTCAGTCAGCTGTTTGCTCTCACGCTGGCCAATAGAATCTTCCTGCCTATTCGTGGCAGCCAGCTATAGGCTCTCACTCTGGCTAGTACAAAATGGCCGCAAACTACATGAAAACTGCCGTAAAAGCATGAAAAAATCGATTATTTCCACTATCGATGGGAGTTGGGAAATGCAAAGTCGGTCTTGGCCTTTCCGCTAACTTGGAGCATCTGCATGTAAATTTTGGTGCAAATCCGACGAAAATTGCGGCCGTGCATTCGTTACACACACACACACACACACACACACACACACACACACACACACACACACACATCCTGCCTTTATAGATAGCGATGAAATGGACTGAGTTCGAAAATTATTTTAAAATATTTTTTTGTTTATACGTTATTTTTATAAATATATATTTAAGTAAATGCTCTGTTTATAATAAACAATATTAAACAACATTCGGCCGACCTGGAAGCCCGAGAAATCTCAAAAAAATTTGTATCCGCCGACAGAAATCGAACCATTATACTACACGGAGCCAACATGTAGTCTGACTTGTTATACCACCTAGCTACAGAGCAAGCGTTAGATTGTCTGGAACGCTCCTATTTGCTCAAAAGCGTATCTTAACGTAAACAAATAATATAATATATTAGGAAAATAACGTATTATATATATATATATATATATATATATATATATATATATATATATATATATATATATATAATATAATATTCCATAAAATAAACGGCTCAAACACTAATATTCCATGAATTGGATTACGATTCCAATGTAATAAATTATAACCATGGAATATTAGTGTTTATATATATATATATATATATTCTTGCTCTGTGTCCGGCACAACCTTTCTATTTATATATATATATATATATATATATATATATGATAATATATATATATTTATATATATATATATATAACCCTTGTTTTATATTATATTATATATATATATATATATATATATATATATATATATATAATTTTTTTATACTGATTATGATACTGTCATAAGGAAAATCTAGATACCCCGTATTTGATAATATTCTATAACCATGGAAACGTATTTTAGCTATATATTTAAAACCCGGTAAATTTTAAAAGTTACTTTTTGAAGATATATACATTTATTTGCAAAAATAAAATTAGGGTTTTTAGCTTCTATTTTTTGAAACATGGTTGGAACTGTGTAGCGAAAATAACCATATTTTTAAATCAATTAATTTATAATATAATATTTTTATATATATATATATATATATATATATATATATATATATATATAGAAGAAGAAGAAGATAAACCTTGGTTGCTGACTGGTCTAGGAGAAGGAAAACTGAGTTCAAAGCAGTCCTGTAAAGGGTTGGGCTCCGTTAGGCTATCTTGCCCAAGGAACACCATTTCTACTGCAGTACAGATGGTGCTATGGCCATGGGATAATATATATATATATATATATATATATATATATATATATATATATATATATGAAGAAATATCGTCTTAAGGTGTGCTATATTTATGGGATAAAGTGCTCAACATCAGAGATAGAGCGTGTGTAAATATAAAATGGCTTGACGATTACGTCTCGCATGAAACAGATTGTCGCCTCTAAGTATTGACTTCAATGTTCAATTTTATATATATATATATATATATGTATGTATAATATAAAAGGCTCAAACAAAATTCATCAGACCTACAAATTCAAAAAGCTTTTTGAATTTATATATATATATATATATATATATATATATATGTGTGTGTGTGTATTGACCACTAATATTATCTCTCTCTCTCTGTCTCTCTCCGACAGGAATCGAACCTGTATCCTATACGGAACCATCATATAGTCTGGAAAAATGTCTTAAAACAATTGTCGGATTTTGTCCATTTCATAATGTGTGACGTCATTTGTTTACATTTGGATACGCATCGAGCAGATATGAATGTACGTGAGAGATTCATGGAAAATTGTAGTTTAAAAACAGTAAAATTGACTTTGCTAACCGAAACGCTCCTTTATGGCAAAATCTGTCAAAGCACGCCAGGCTATATGACGGTTCCGTATAGGATACAGGTTCGATTCCTCTCGGAGGACGCATATTTTCTATGAAAATTTCTCGAACATACAGGTCGGTAAATGTTGTTAATACTGTTTATTATAAACAGACCATTTACTTAAATATTTTTATCTATAAAAAGAATGTGCAAACATAAAAATCTCTTAAAATAGTTGTCGGACTTTGTCCATTTCATTATATATATATATATATATATATTATATATATATATATATATATATATATATATATATATATATATATTGCTCTGTCAATAGGGAACCGTCGTTTGATACAACGTGCACCAGACCGACTAAATGACAGAGAAGACATGTTTTCTAATTTATTTAATCAGACATATCTTTATATATATATATATATTGAATCTAGACATATGATTCTATTGCTAATATTTCGGTCTCTCACGTGGTATGACGTCATAGAACAGCATCATGAATTTACGACCTGCGTCTGCTATTCCATGACCGTTATCGTCGTATAGCAATCTTCTATTTCAACATAACAGAATCTTTGATGATGAATATCTTTGTATAAATGTCCATATAACCACTCTGAAGATGGCTTATGTGAGCCGAAAGGTTAGATCAAGGAACAGCTTAATAAAAAATATTCAAATCTTGGACAATTTTTTGTATTTATTTTTATCCAAAATTACAGCAAGCATACGAAGCTTAGAACGGCTCATGATCAAAGATAATAGACATTCGATGTTCGTTGTCTGTTATATATAACAATATATGTTTAAAATATATATATATATATATATATATATATATATATATATATATATATATATATATATATATATATTCAGTTGTATTGATATTAGTTTGTCACCCGTAGCTTTTGCGATCATCAAACAAACAACAAATGATCGCCAAAGCGTGAAACCCAGAGATCGCAAACTTATATCCATACAACAGAATATATTAGCTCTATCACTGATATTGAGCACTTTCCAGTAACTAAAGCGCATTTATAATATATATATATATATATATATATATATATATATAGAGAGAGAGTTAGTTAGTTAGTTAGTTTATGAAAAACTAGGTAATCCGTATGGGTAAACCCAAGGAAGATAAAATCCAGAGAGTTCAATGTTTTTATTTAAATTATATATATATATATATATATATATATATATATATATATATATATATATATATATATTTAACATTTGTGTATTTAGGTAGCAATCCTTCTTTCATGCACATTTCATTGAATATGACTGACAAGGTGCTTTTATTTATTTTTTATACAATTTTTCATGCGATCTAATAATTTTTTTTTCTTTTCGGATGTTAAATTATACAAAAAACTGTCCGAATGTTTTTTTTTTTATTCAAGCGCTTTCGGCTATACATTTAGCCATTTTCAATAATTAAATATTTTAACTGTTAAAATTAGAAATAGTTTGTTGCATGTATGCTTTATAAAATATTTTAATTTTCAAAACACAGTCAAGATATTATGTCCATGTTCATAGTTGATATTATTAAGTGTTAGTTTGTTTTTATTAATAAGTCTTCCATTATTTTTAGCCTTTTTTTTCCATGTAGATGATGCTATTATATTAGTGTTGTCAACAAGTATGTTACGAATAGTGTCCGGTAGGTCTCCATGAATACATATATATATATATATATATATATATATATATATATATATATAGAGAGAGAGAGAAAGATAGAGAGTATAGAAAGAGAGACAGATAGGAATTGTATGAGAGAAAATCGGGGAAATGTGTGTGTGTCTGAGAGAGAGAGAGAGAGAGAGAGAGAGAGAGAGAGAGAGAGATAAAGAGAGGCTAGATAAAGGGAAAACTCTTATGAAAGAAAGTCTGCTATAAATAAGAAAGAGAAGGGAATGTGCGTCTGTGTGTGTTTGAGAGAGAGAGAGAGAAAGATAATAAGGAAATAAAAAAAACAAACGAAAAAGAAAGAGCGAGTGAGAAAATCAAACAGAGAAATAGAGAAAATAAGATAGCGAGAAATAGAGAGTGTGAAAGTGCGAGAGCGTAGACAGAAATTAAAGAGAGGGAGTATAACATACGCTGTGAGAGGGTGACGGAATAATGAAAGAGAATGAAAATGAGAGAGAGAGAGAGGGGGGTAGATACTGTAAAATCTGATAGAGAAAATGAGAGAAAACGAAAGAGAGAGGGGGATAACAGATGCTGTAAGAGGGCGAGAAAAATGAGAGGGAACCTGGGAGAGAGAGAAAGAGAGAGAGAGTCTAATAGATGATGTGAGGGGGTGACAGAAATAATGAACGAGAAGAGAAAAGTGAGAGAGTGTATAATAGATTCAGTAAGAGGGCGATAGATAGAATGTGTGAGAATAAAAATGAGGGCGAGAGAGAGAGAGGATAATACATGCTGCGAGGGGGTGACAGGAATGATAAAAAAAGTAGAAAAGCGAGAGAGAGAGTATAATAGATGCTCTGAGAGGGTGATGGAAAAAATGAGAGAGAATGAAAAAGAGCGAATGAATAATAGGTGTGAGAGGTTGATAGAGGGTAATAAAAGGAATACAATTAAAGAGAGAGAGAGAGAGAGAGAGAGAGAGAGAGGGTGGGTGAGAAATCTTGCGACAAATCCTGTAACATACCGCGTTGGTATTGATCTCATCCAATGGAGTCATTAATGCTTTATTGATTTCTAGAAAAAAACGATAATTTCACTTTTCCGATAAAAAAAGGCGGGAATATTCCCTATCATTTTGCGTCCCAATTGTTTTCTGTTTTTACACTCGCCGTGGCCGCCGGTCAAGACCTGTTAGGCATCCACTTCTTTTTTCCTGAGATCATAGCTCTCCACAGCATCCCCTCTTTGTTGCTCGAAAGAACTACTGTCCCCACTGTTTTCCTGGTTCTCGTTCTTTCCTTTCCATTTATTCAAAATCATCAAACCGAACCATCGCTATTTTTCTCTGCTTTTTGCATCATTTCGTCCCAAGCAAAGGCAATAAAGCAACTAAGGGGCAAAGGGTGTGAGAGAATATGAGAAAAAGAAAACATGATTACATGTTTCAATTCTATGATTGTACTTCTTCAGGCGATCATAGTATTGAAATACGAAATAATGTTTGTGTAGTGATTTCATCATGTTTTTTTTTATTATAATCTCTTATAAAATTTTTTAGCAATTATATATATATATATATATATATATATATATATATATATGAATTTTCTCCATCAAGACATTCATTTCTGTAGTTCACTTCTACCAGCAAGCAGAAAATCTTTTTTCTCCTGATGATGGCCATGTTGGCCGAAACTAGTCGAGGAATCTAAATGAAATAATAAAAACGAAAGAATATTAATATAAACCTAATGTGTCTAAAAATTTTAATTTTTAGTATTTTTTGTTGTTCAATATATATATATATATATATATATATATATATATATATACGTGTGTTGTGAAAAAAAGATTAAAAAAACTCACCCGTCGAAACATTTTGATAGAAATAATGTAACAGGCTGTTCATTCAAATAATTATGGTAGTAATGGCAACCCTTCATAGCAGGCTTTTAGAATCTAAAAATGTCGCGTCTAATTGGTAGATTCTATGACCCTGCCACCCTTGTTATATTTAATGTCGCTTTTTATCTGTGGCACGCAGTGAGGATCTAAGTCCCAGTTCAGTAGCAATGGTCAAGCAGGCTAGTCACAGGAATCACGAACCAACATCGAGGCACACACCCTTACAAATGTCAGAGGTCATAAAAATAATTTGAATGCTTGTAATTCTAATGAAATTCGTTGTACTAGCGACAGACAACTCTTCAATGCTGATGGATATAATAATTGCAAGAGCAGTCCTGTTGCGGTTAATGAGATATTGTGTCAACATGTCACATATTGGTATTGATTGTATATAGGAGACCACGGTGGAGTAATGGATAGCAGCATGGATTGAGAGCCGAGTTCGAATTCCAGTCGAATCTATTACATTCACTTACGTGCTAATACCCTTGGGAAAGGTATGAATCATCTTCTTCTCCCTCCAGCTATGGGTAAATAGCAGGACACACCAAGCCTTGGATGGCAACTGGTCTACCGCAGAAAGAAATGGCAATCTACTGCGGGAAAAATTGCCTCGCCAGTCATGTATCGAAAGATACATGGTCGCCTAAACGTGTATCACGTATGGCACATAACTGATTGACGGTGCCAAATTAACTTAATAATTTAAGCCAATGCTACGGTGCGTACATTTTCGGAGACCCAGCAGTGTCTTCAGTTCTTCAGATAACATTTTATCGAAGCCATGAAATTTTCTTAAATATTTCGTTAGAATCAAATATCTCATATATTATTTTTTAGGGGAAGTTGTTTATTATGTTGATAGATGCTAAATATTTACCTGTTTTATAAACTCTATGCTATTAAATAATTTATGATGTAATTTTTATGTGTATTTTTAAAAAAAAAATTAGGCTCCTTTAAAATAACACATGTTGTAATCCCTACACTATTTTAATCCGGCCCTGGGGACCCTTGAGCGAATAGTGACATTTTTTTCAGTAACATTTGTAAAAAAAAAAAGAAGATAAATAAATAAATAAAAAGAAAACACCCAGGGTTAGAAAAAATAAAATGTAACCCAGTTCCAATTGGTTAAAATTTGGATTTCAGCGTTGTCGCAAATTCGACGATCAGTGTTATATTCAAGTTTATCCAATAAGCAGATGTGATTTGAGACATTTTTATTGAATTTTACCCAGAATCGCTGTGGTCATCAAACGAAAACATAAGGTCTGGCAGTCTGCGATTTGTCCTTGAAAGTTAATATGAATGAAATAAGATAGTTTCATGAATCGTTATAAATGAACTGAACTCCGAAAAATAATTGCTTTACGTAATTCAACAGCAAATAATTTATTGTCATTGAAAGAAAACCTGTCGTATATATTTCTAATGTTTGCAATATGTCACCTGCTACCTATATATATATATATGTGTGTGTGTGTGTGTAATTTTCTCTGCTTTAAGCAATCAAAAGTGTTGTGGTATCCATTCACTGTGAGGTCAGGATTTGTTTAAGGACACATAAACCCGCTTTTACTTTTAATGTCTTATATTCTGTGAGAAATGTGTTCGCTGTCACCAAAGTTGACATCAATACATTCTGGATTCTTTTTCAACAGTGAAAGTCATGGAATCTAATTTTACATTTCTGGGAAGACAGTGTAGCACATAAATAGTGAAAAAAAAAATAGCCGTTTCCATTCAGGAAACATTTACCATTTACGTTGATCACACACAACGTTACTGTTGGTTGAAAATTATTGAATCTCGAACGGGAGGGAGCTATGAAAGATTGGTTTATTCTCCCAATATATTTCCCCCCCTTATGGGCATTATCATATCCATTATATAATAAAATCGTATTACATGGACGAAACGAAATGGCTGAAAATAAAAGAATGCCACACATGGATTGTTCTCGAAGACTTTTATTCACAAAGCTATGTATGCATATATAGCACCCAGAAAGTTTCTCACACATATTTGAATATTATCTGTTACTTCATTACACGTGACACGTATGTAACCAATAAGAAATAACCTAACACAATATTCCATTAATCTGCATCTCTTAGCTTTTTATCATTTTTAACATTTCTATCTTGATCTCTAACAAAGCTTTAATATAGTGAAACATGTTAGATTAAGATCTGTTTCCTACTTGTTCTTTATCCTATCACACACACACACACACACACACACACACACACACACACACACACACACACACACACACACACACACACATATATATATATATATATATATATATATATATATGTCCCGCACGGATATTAATATGTGATATATATCTACATAGCAAAATAGAGTGTAAGAAACAAGAAGAATGATATGGAGATACTCTTGTGTCTGGAGAAGGGGTGTTTAGGACGCCATATTCAAACGGGCCGGTTTCATAAACTGTTTCTCAGTCGAGCACATATTCCACGAAGGGGAAACGGTGAGACTTGGCTTTTCCCAAATTGAGGATTGCTAGGCAGAGTTTCTTTCTATATTTGGGAAATATATATTCCCAAAGAGAAACAGCACCATGGATTTTTAAGCAGATTGAACCTCATCCCGGGCCTGGCGGTTGGGTGGGGTCTAAAGGAATACATCTCTCGGTTTGGCTGCTGCAAACAAACTGAATGACTGGCCACTCTGGTCACTGTATGAAGTGACGTCACTAAGCGACCATCACGTTACCCATGTGACTTATCTCCATCAAAGGGAGATAACCGCCTTCTGTATCCGTACAAATGGTTTTCCTGAGTTTTTCTCGGAAATATGTCTTATTTATATTCATATCTGCTATACCCTTTTCTAATATTGTTTGTTATTGTTATTTATTCGTTTTTTACGGCTTATCAACACTTTGCAGGTTATTCATATTGTAAGAATATTTTTTGGAAATAATAATGGTTCACTGATACGAGTATTACTAATTAACCCATAGCTGGGGGAGAAGAGTTGGATTTATGCCTTTCCCATAAGTGAATATAATGATCCAAACTGGAATTGGAACTCGGCTCTCCGATTAACAATTCTGAGCCATTATCCATTACACTTCCCGCAGATCCAAGCTTACAGCGCCTAGTATTCCCAAGCGGTCACCCATCTACGTCCCGACCAGGCTCAAGTTGCTTAACTTCGGTGATCGTACGAGAACTGATGTTTCAACGTGATGTGACCGTAAGCCTATCTTTGATGTGAGTTTCTTTCTTCACCGTTTGTGTAAGGTAGTGTGTGGTAAGTCAACATTTTGCGCAGTTCGCAACAGGAGTAGATAGGTTCGCCTATCGCCCGGTTCACACACTTCAACTCGCTCTTTTGAATAGGAGTAGAGGTTTATCCGTTGTTTCCAGTTTAGGATTGGATTTCCGATTTCCTCTCCTAAATACTTTTCATTCTCTTTTACTGCCTGTCGCCTACTGCGTCTTAGTGGCATTGTCGTTTTACTTGGCCTGAAATGATTTTAATAGATATCGTTATTTTCTTTCGTACTTACAGGCGAAACCGGTTTTGTTGTTACCAACGTTCAAAAATTTCAGTCATGCGGTTTTCTTGTGGGACCAATAAAGAATTGTCTTATATATATATATATATATATATATATATATATATATATATATATATATATATGTGTGTGTGTGTGTGTGTGTGTGTGTGTTGTGTATTTAGGTAGCAATCCTTCTTTCATGCACATTTCATTGAATATGACAGACAAGGTGTTTTTATTTATTTTTTTTTATACAATTTCACATGCGATCTAATTTTTTATTTCTTTTCAGATGATAAATTATATAAAAACTGTCCGAATGTTCTTTTTATCCGAGCGCTTTCGGCTATACATTTAGCCATTTTTCAAGGATTATATATTTTAACTGTTAAATAAGAAATAGTTTTTTGCATGTATATATTTATATAATATTTCCAATTTTCAAAACACGGTCAAGATATTGTGTCCATGTTCAAAGTTAATATTATTAAGTGTTGGTATTTTTTGTTTTTATTCATAAGGCTTTCTATTATTTTTTGCCTTTTTTGCATGTAGATGATGCTATTATATTTGTGTTGTCAACATGTTACGAATCAGGTCCAGTAGTCTCCATGAATATTAAAATGAGACCTAATTGAGCTATGGTCAGAAAGGTGTAGAGTGAGTCTGCGTGTCAAACATGTTGTAGTGTGGCCTATAATTATTTATATTATATTTGTATATATTATTTAACAGTTAAAATATTTAAAATATTTAGTCCTTGAAAATGGCTAAATGTATAGCCGAAAGCGTTCGGATAAAAATAACATTCGGACAGTTTTTATCTAATTTATCATCCGAAAAGAAAAAAAAATTAGATCGCATGAGAAATTGTATAAAAAAAACTAAATAAAAGCACCTTGTCTGTCGTATTCAATGAAATGTCTTATATATATATATATATATATATATATATATATATATATATATATATATATGGTACACGGGTGCACCTCTCCAAAACGTAGTATTGATATATTGGCTGGAGTTTTTGTTTTTTTTTAAATTTGTTTCACCCGATGCAAGGCAGAAAAGCCACTAAGACACAAGAGGTTACAGGGTTTGGAAAAATTAGTATAAAAAACATTAATAATGAGTAGGAAGAGGAAAGAGTAATCAGAAGGACAGTAGATAGCGATAGACATTGCACTTAAATTTTTGAAGATTAAAGTTGGTCGGAAAACACAGACCCGGAAAGAAGTTCCTCAAGCGAGAATTGCGAGAAAAGCGACTGTCAGGATAGAAGTTACAGCTACATATATTGAAAACCTTCATTCTTTTCCACATTAGTTCATATACATTTACAGGGATTATTTTTATAGAGGAGTTTTACAAATTTACTAACAATAGAAAATGTTGATAGATTTGAAAACTTGACATGTACAGTAATTTGTTTTAATTCATAACTAATTATTAATAAAATAAACTGAATTATGCTTCATTAAGCAAAATATTTAATAAAAGATCAGGGTATTTAAATCGATTTTATTCTGATTAAAATTACAGTCAATGAGAAACTTGTGAAAAAGTAAAAGATTTTTCCCTCCCCACTTAAAACCCTGAAATACCCCCCGCCGGTGAGTAGGAATTCCAACGCCCTGGTTAAGACCTCCGCCTGTTTCATCGTGGACTTAGATATCTATCTGTCGAAAGAGAACGTGGGCAGGTGGAGAGAGAAAACATTGTTTCTGTCTAGGCTGATGTCAAAATAAAGAAAGTTTGTCAAACAAATGGACGTATAAACAAAGCAAGTGTCACTTTTTTTTTTTTTTTTTTTACCTCCGCTTGAATTTGCGCCCGATGCAATTTTTTGTTCAAGCGGGAAAAAACATGCGACACAAATTTGTGGAATATTCAGAACCCAAAACTGATGAAGAAACATTATCACAGTATTCTATCCTTTCTTGCTCTCTCAACAAAACCATTCTTCTTCGAACATCATGGACTGGCGCTACATAATCTTAAAGAGCTGTACCAAATAACAGAAACGACAACAGACTTTCAACAGCTAAAATGAATAAAACATTGCGTCGTTGGCGGAACTCATTACCGAGTATTAAGGTACTCATCGACATTTCCTTCTGAGTGAAATGAGTCCTATGTTGAATCCGAAGAGACGTCCGCATCTACCATATAGTAAAGTAGAAGGGTTCAGGGAATGGAGAGCTCTGGCCTTTCCTTGGATCTCTTTTCGTCTCTTCTATTTCTTTTCTGTTGTTTTTTCGTGGATTGCTCCTCTCGAATTGGTTCTTTCTTTACTTTTCATCGCCCAATTGACAGGATCAATCTCTGTCTTCAGTAAGGTGTTGACTCCTTCTGTCCTTGATTTATTTTTTATGTCTTATCAACCCTTTTTGGATTATTTAAAACCAAAACATATTTTGGATTGTAAGAATATTTTTTCTTTTTTTGAGAATAACAATGATTTTTCCATATCAAGTCCTAATAATTAACCCATAGCTGGAGGGCTTATATGGATTCATAACTTTCTTAAGAATATTTATGTATACACCAAGCCCGAATGGAATTTGAACTTAGCTTTGGCTTCTCACTGTAAGCTGCTCCCCCCTTTAAACCGCCTGCGCATTCTATAGAAGTTGAAATGTCTGTATTATGATACCTGATGATAGAGCAGAGGGAGAGAGAAGTTCATGCCTTTTGACAGAACACTTTGCACATTGCGTCGTTGGCGGAACACATTGCCGAGTATTAGGGTACTCATTGACATTTCCTTCCGAGTGAAATAAATCCTATGTTGAATCCGAAGAGACGTCCGCATCTACCACATAGTAAGGTAGGGAATGGAGAGCTCGGGCCATTCCTTGTGTCTCTCTTCGTCTCTTCTATTTGTCTTCTGGTTTTTTTCAAAGGATTTTCTTTCGTGGATTGCTCTTCTCCAAGATGTTCTTTCTGCAGCTTCCGTCTCCCAATTGACCGGTTCGATTTCTATCCCCGGCAAGGTTTTTTCTGAACTGGTCCTTGACCGGTCGACTCGCTTTGACCAATTCAAATTAATGCCAAGGGTTTTGCGATCACTTTCACACAAAGCCGAGCTTCTCGGCTTGACGGTCGAACTTTCTGCCTCTGAGCAGAAAGGAACCCAGACGAGGTTCCGCCGAAGGGCAGAATCTCGTTCGGGGAGAAATGACCAACCCGATCTCGTTTTTACGGGTTATACGGGCATTTTTTGGCCGAGCCTACGGGCTCGGGAATCCCACGATAAACTCGGCCTTGTGCCACATGCAACCCTCGTGGGGGGGTGGCTAGATACTTTCACACAAAGGCCTTCAGAAAGGTATGAATCCATCTATAACCACCTATGGGTTAAATGATAGGGAAGACTGGTACATCTAGACTTGATTAGCAAGCAGTCCAAGAAAAGAACAATTCTTTAATTACAAACTCGTTGCACTAGCAATTCCACTTCGAAACCCTCAAGAAACAAAAAGAAACTTTACAAGAGACAGATTAGATCAAAAATGTGTATTACTATCGTGTTTGGCATGGAGCTGCTTAACGTTTAATTTCTAGCCTTGATAGAGTTCGAGGCACTTATACGACATTTCCGCCCTTTTATCGCAGACACATCGTCTCAAGTCTTTTGCAAATTTTAGAACGATATCCATTCTTTAGATCTACAGGTTCTGACCAGTTTCGCGAAAACTCGCCATTCTTCATCCAAGGAATCAAACCAACCTCATCCTCTTTATATTCCAAGTGTGCGAAGGAAGTCCCACTCAGACATCTTTCCCTCCCACAAGAACAACTACTTTGTGGAACAGGCTCCCGCTTGGTTGCTTACTCGAATGCTAAAATCTTAACCTCTTCAAGTTAAGAATCAGTCGTAAGATTCTCCATATCTATCTATATTTCGGAGATGAGGTACCGTAATTAATTACACCATTTACGTTGTTCGGACTGTTGTCCTTATCTTTGTTGCCATATTCACCACGTTTCGGCCATTGTACTCTCTGGCCTACTTCAGGATCTGTCTACATTTCTGAGATGAGGTACTGTAATTAATTACACTATTTACATTGTTCGGAGTGATGTACTCATCTTTGTTGCAATATTCTCGACGTTTCGGCCGTTGTACGCACAGACCTTCTTCTGGATCTGTCTATCTTTCTGAGATGAGGTACATAATTATTTACATTGTTTTACATTGTTTGGATTGTTGTTCTCATCTTTGTTGCAATATTCACGACGTTTCGGCCGTTGTACGCTCTGGTCTTCTTCAGGTCTACATTTCTGAGATCAGGTACCGTAATTATTTATACTATTTACATTGTTCGGACTGTTGTGTTGATATTTGTTGTCATATTCACGACGTTTCGGCCGTTATACACTCTTCCTTGAGTGGCTCTTGAGCCTTGTATTGAGTGAACATAGGTATAGAAAAAAAACGATGACATTAACGTTATCAAAACGTTATTAAAACGTTATCAATATAAGAAAAGTTTGAAAAATATTTTAAAAAATTCCTTAGATCAGCAGTGAAGAAATGTTTGACGTAGTTGTGAAAGTGGTCGGTTCATTCTCTCTCTCTCTCTCTCCAGAAATCCCATGACTCCTTCTGGCATGCTTTGTCTTTATAAGAGTCAGATAAGACCAAAAACTGAAGATTGCTCACATATCTGGGCTGGAGCCGCTCGATTCTCACATTCTAGACTCGATACAATTCAAAATCGTTTACGTGTTCTTGTAGAGGATGAGTTATTTTCAATTCTACAGTCTCTTTCCCCACAGATGAAAAATTGCAATCTCATCGCTATTTCTATAGCAAATCTTCAGATGTACACCACTGCTTAGGACGACCAGCTCAGGCCTTCACGGCCATGACTCGACAGGCTACATCCACGGAGTCAAATCCCCCGGATTTCCACCATATAATTCTCGCCTCTACACATTTCTCAAAATAAAACCAAATGACCAAAGAAGGTTTTATTAAAGGATTCTTTGTCAATCTCTGTTAATATCTATCTATCTATCTATCTATCTATCTATCTATCTATCTATCTATCTCAGTCTGTTCGTATCTATCTATCTATCTATCTATCTATCTATCTATCTATCTATCTATGTTAGAAAGAAAACATTTTAATTCCTCACACAAAATAGGTAATAAACCGAATCCATGAGATTTTTGGTTTTGCTACAGAAAGGCCAAGGTCCTTTATACAACAGCAAAATCATAATAGTAATATAAGCCCTTAAAAAGAAAATGAAATCTGATGATTTAATCACTGAATGATATGATTTTAGAAGTAGCCTTTGTTACATTTTCTACCACGGACTCGCTGCTGGTTTAAGACTCGTTCAAGGTCACTATTTGTTCAGAATTAGTCTAACTCAGTTTGACGGTCGGAGACCACATCGGCCAAAAATATTGTCATAAATAATTAACGTAATGATACCGATATTAATCAATGTCATGTCCCCCATCTCCTGGGTACTTAATTTCAAATTTAATTTATAACAGGATGGACACAGAATGACACTGAACCGTTTGAAGAGAAGGCAGTTACCGATTTGACCGACAACTCACATGAATTTACAATAGGCGAATCAAAGTGGAATATCATCGAATTAGAAATTGAAGGAACGATGGAAATATTAAAGAAAGGAAAAAGAAAGATGGAAAGATAAAAAAAGGAAAGAAAAATGAAGAAGGAGACAAAAGAGCAAGAAGGAAAGGAAAATGAGAGATGTGAAGAAAAAAAAAGAAAGAAAGAAAGAAAGAAAGAAAGAAAGAAAGAAAGAAAGAAAACAAAGGAAGGAAGGAAGGAAGGAAGGAAAGAAAAAACAGAGATTGGAAGAAAGAAAGAAAGAAAGAAATAAAGAAAACAAGGAAGGAAGGTAAAAAAAGGAAACAGAGAAAGAAAGAAAGAAAGCAAAGGAAGGGAGGGAGGGAGGAAGGGAAAGAATGAAAAGAAACAGAGGATGGAAGAAAGAAAGAAAGAAAGAAAGAAAGAAATTAAACAGAAGGAAGCAAGGGAGGGAAAGGAAGAAAAAAGGAAAGAAAGGAAAACATAAAGAATAGAAAATAATGGAAGTTAAAAATAACAAAGAAAGAAAAGAAAAAAGAAAAACAAAGAAAGGAAAGAAAAACAGAAAGAAGAGAAGGTAATAAAATAAGTGAAGAAAAAGAAGAAACAAACAGTGTAAGGAAGAAATAAATAAAGAAAGAAGGCAAGTAATGTAAGAAAACGAAGAAAAAATAAAAAAAAGAGTAAGGAATAAATAGGTCATAAAAGAAAGAAAGAAAGAAACGAATAAAAACGAAGACATGGATCAAAAAGAAGGAAAAAGAAGAGAAATGAAGCTGGAAGGAAACCAGAGGATAAAAGAAAAAGCTCATTAAAAAGCAAATTGAAAGGAGAAAAAAAAAAGCAAGAACGAAGTGAACGCAAAGAATGAAAGAGAGAAAAGAAAACAGTCGATTGAATGAAGACTAAAAACGAGAAAAAGAAAAAGGAATAAGAAAAATACGAAGAAAGAAATGAGAAAGAAAGAAAGAAAAAAGAAATAAAGGAAGAAATAGAAGTAAAAAGAAAAATTTAATGAAAAAAATTGAAAAAAATGGAGAAGGAAAAAAAGAAGAAAGAACTTAAAAAATATGGAGGAAGTTAAAAAAAAAACAAAACAAACATAAAAGAAAAGAAAACAAAAAAAAAACACGAGTTTCTGTTAAAGTAATTACACACCAAAATAAAAAAAAAAAAAAAAAAAAAAAGGAAAATGCTGACAAAGTTTTTAAAAAAAAAAAAATATGTGTGTCGAAGTCGGGGGTGGGGATAATGGAAACAAAAGAATTGACCCGGACTCTCTTTCACTTTTCACTTGACGATAAAAAAAAAAAAAAAAAAAAAAAATTGCCATTTTTTTTAAATAAACACACACACACACAGATACAGAGAAAAAAATAATTGATAAAAAATTGGGGAAAAAAAAGGGGAAGCCTCAAAATGTTTTCCCTTAATAACAAGAACACATATGTAAAATATACTCTTTTTAAATACACACCCACCATAACACTTACCCGACTCGACGTAAATCGGGATCTCACACTGAGATATTAGTTGTAAACACATCCGAAAAAAAGCCAAAAAAAAAAAAAAAAAATGAAAGCGGGGCATGGACGCCTGAGGTAGAGTAAGGAAAACCTACCTCGTTTAGTAGGCAAGTGTCAACATAGAGAGTTCGAATCTGTGCGTCCGACTATTAAGATCCTAAAGCGGACATTATTGACCTTTATTAAATATTATAATCTCTCCTCTTCTATGGAACGCTTCCATTCAGGACATTTTTTTTTACTAATGGCCACCCAATACAAAGCCCAAGAGCCACTCAAGGTAGAGAGTTACAGTGCAGAGTTGTATCAGCGTAAGAAAGGGAATGATAGCAGGAAAGAAAGACAGCTAATTCTAGAATTAAAGAGATCAAGATTTAATTAGGAAATAAAATTTCAGAGTTTAGCCGGAGACGTTAGGAGTATACAGTTGAAGGAGAATTTAAAAGGAACCAGAAACCCAATCCTAAACAGGAAACAAAAGATAAATCTCTACCTCTGTTCAAAAGAACGGGGAGAAGTGTGAACCGGACGATAGGTGAACCTATCTACTTTCAGATTTCAGATGGAAACGTTAGAAAAATAGAGTTGAAGTAGAAGGAACCGGAAACCCAATCCTAAAGAGAAAAGAAGGGATAAACCTCTACTTCTGTTCCAAAAACCTGGGAGAAGTGTGAACCGGACGATAGGCGAGCCTATCTACTTTCAGATTTCAGGTGGTGACGTTAAAAGTATAGAGTTAAAGTAGAAGGAACCGGAAACTCAATCCTAAACAGGAAACAGGAGATAAACCTCTACTCCTCTTCCAAAAACCGGGGAGGAGTGTGGACCGGACGATAGGTAAACTTATCTATTTCTATTAGTGTTAGCTACAAATTTACGACCATTCAAAATTTGCCAGTTTTCCGTTTCATCTGCTACGAGACCAGAAGCCAATTTTAACAGCGTATAACTGAAGATGCAAGCTTCAGATTAAAAGTCATTAGAAATTTAATGAATGTAATGTCTTATCGGTAATCTTGGAGTAAGATAATAGAAAAGGAATCAATATTTATTAGCGCAAAACAGCCATTGGTGAAAATTGTATTCTCAAAAACGAAATAGAGCGATCATGTCTCTACAAAACTTTTTTTCTCTACTGATGCTAAGGCTCCCACACCACGTACCGACATCCATTCAAATAAGTTCGTCAAATAGGTAGCTCACCGCCTCCTCTTATCTCTCTTGTCCCCACTATGCCTTGTGAGTGGTAAGTTTTCCAAGCCTTCCTTCCTCTTATGTGTTCAAGGAATGCCAACTGTTTCTTCCTGATTCGAAGCATATACTTCCTATTAGCAAACCAATTCGAAGATGTAGTGAAATTGCTCCTCACTATGTGCCCCGCGACTCTACCAAACTAAGCTTAGATTTGTAAGAACCTATAGACGCCAAGCCATATACCCATGTTCGTCTCGAAATTTTGAACTTCACTCTTTGCCCTGGCCTTGTGTCATACTACTCGTACAGATAGGCCGAGATAGGACAAACTGTAATTACATACAGAGATGTGAAGATAGACAGTTACGAACAGTCTGCGATAATAACAAAAAGACGGATAAAGAAATAGGCTGAGATATACATTGACGGGCAAAAGTTTTGTAACAATTACAAAAAATGATTATACACCATATAAATCTACCATTCGTTTGCTGCCATATCTGGTCTGGTGTTCCTGCTTTATATCCTGAGATTCTTTAGATCATTCAAAGTGTCTGTAATGTAATTGATCTTGACCTGGCATCTCGACTTCAGTCACTTTATCACCGACGTGGACGTCGGGAAGAGACGACTCAAAACCGCCGACTCAACAGCACCGACTCAACACCGCCGATTCAGCGCCGAGACAACTTAGGATCGAGACAACTCAGCACCAGAAAAAAATATTATAACCGAATAAAAGTAATTTATTAAGGATTAAAACCTTAATTAGTGAATATTTTTTAAATTATTCTTAATAAGGTAAATCGTAAAGAAATTTATTTTTTAATAAAGTAAAAACATTCACTAATTAAGGTTTTAAGTTGATTTGGCGGCGTTAAGTCGGCGACGATGAATTGGCGGAGTTGAGTTGGTGGCATTAAGTTGGCGGAGTTGAGTCAGCGGCGTTGAGTTGGCGGAGTTGAGTCAGCGGCGTTGAGTTGACGGAGTTGAGTCGGCGGCGTTAAGTTGGCGGAGTTAAGTTGGCAGAGTTGAGTCGGCGGCGTTGAGTTAGTGAAGCTGCGTCGTTAGCTGAGTTGTCCTGCACCAATGTGACATGCTTTCCTTTTGTCTTTTCTACAGATATTTTCATGGTAATTGTTCTGATGAGCGTTCCTCCTTGGTGCTTCGACTACATGAATTTAAGCGTGCTACTGGATTGGCAAGTAGGTCTCACCTTTTTTCGAACCTTTCTATTCTCATTGTTTATTTTCTTGTAATTATCGCCTATGGAACTCTATTCCAATTTCTTGCTTTCCTACCACCTTCAAAAAATTTAAATGCAACGCTAATCTTCTATTTTCATGAATACTATTTTTTATTATCCTCCTCTTCTAAAGTTTTCTCATTCTCTTTCACTCCTAGGAATGCCTTGCGTCTTAGAGGCATTATCGCCTTGATTAAAAAAAAATAAAGATTTTTTTAACAGGGTTCTAGTGTTTTTAGATCTTGCAGATTTGAAAAGAAGCTGTCGCGTTGACGTAGTGCCGTGGAACAAAATATACACCGTTCTAAACAGAAGTTGAAAAAACGGCGGGCAAAACTGTTGGTTCAATGAAAGATCTCTAGTGATAGTGTGATAATATGCAAAATTTTAATTATGAATTATTCCATCCTATTAACTTGGCAAGTCAATGTACTTGAAAATTAAGCTGCTTTTTTTTTTAAACACAAATTTTGCTAAACTTTCAGCTGGAACAAAGATGAAAGTTGTGACTTTGAAGAGAAGATGACTCAACAAAAAATAGCCAGACGACTGGAAATTTTCTAGAATTTCTGTTCAAACCATTCAAAAGACGTGGAAGTGTTTTAAGTGCAAAGAAAACCGGAAGACCACAAAGGTTAGACAAGAGAGATGAAAGAAATATTGTGAGTGTCTCGGTCGGCAGGCAATCCAAAATTAATAGCCATACACAAGTGATGAGTGAATGGAGTCTTAACAGTGAATTTTCATTTGATACATTACGCAGAATAGTACGAAAAATAAAATAACTTAAACGGGCGTTTAGCCATCGTTAACCGAAAAAACAATGGAATAGAAAAGTGAAGTGGTTAGAACATTTAACATGGGATGCTGGCAAGTGGCAAAAACTAATTCTTTGTGATAAATACAGAATAAAGTTACATTTTAATGCAAGAGAATATGTCAGAATATAAGTGGAAGAAATAAACAATACAAGATACACCACAAATTTGGTGAAGGAAACGTAATGGCATGGGCATCAAAAGCGTTGCTAGAAGAAAATTGGTAAAAGTTGATGGAAACCTGAACAACGAAAACTATATTAGTTGATTATGGTCTAATTGTCTGCCAGAATTCTAAGAAGGTGAAATTTATCAGCTTGACTGTCCTTGTCACACATCACGTGCAACAAAAAAAAGTTTCTTGCTGATGAAGATGTTTAATTTTTTGGAAGGCTGGTAGGAATAAAGTCCTGATTTCAATATCATTGCGCGATTGGGGTGGGAACTGAAGAAATAAGTGCTCCAACGTAAACCACGAAATTCCCAAGAACTTCGAGGTTACTGTTAAGAAGAATGGGGAAAAATCTTTCGCAAGAGAAAATCTGGATTATGTTACATTCAATGCCGCATTGAAATTAATAGCTGCACAAGTGATGAGTGAATGCACAGGGAAAAAATATTGAACGAGATTATAGCATAATATAATCTTTATTAACCAAAATACGCCGGAATAAAAAATTGAATTGGTCAAAAGAACATTTAACATGGGATGCTGACATGTGTCAAAAAGTAATTTTTTATTATGAATGCAAAATAAAGTTACATTTTAATGCAAGAGAATATGTCAGAATATAAGTGGAAGAAAGAAACAATGCAAGATACACCGTAAATTTGGTAATGGAAACGTAATGGCGTGGAGTTACATCAAAACCGTTGCTAGAAGAAACAACGGAAGCTATATTAGTTAACTACAGTTTAATCGTCTGCCTGAATTCTAAGATGGAGAAATTTATCAGCG